CATATTCCGGGGGAAAAATAACCAGAAAGCGTACAGTAGGAGTAATTCCCAGCCAGGAGGGAGGAGCCACATAACCCCGACAGGTGTTTTCTGTCCAGATTTATGGAAGGAGAGTGATGGTGTACTTAGAACAACAGTAATTAAGACTCTGAGGACAAGTTAGGAAAACTGCTGGGTTTAATAAGGCAGGATTGCCCAGCTGTCACCTCCTGAAACTCCCTATAGGGCTGTGGTGAGGGTGCTGGTCCTCAAGAGGCAGGTACTTTGATGGCAGGGGCAGATGTGCTCCGGTGATGCCTCAGACCCCCTCTGTGCCCTCAGAGCAGCATGGAGTTTTTAAACCTGTCCTCTCAGGTGTGCTCCTGAACTGCAACAACACCTCCCCTTTCCCTCCAAGCCCAGCAGGGTTATTGTCCTGTGAATCAATTTTCCATCTTTCATATGGCAAGTGCAAATCCTGGGTTCAGACAATTCCCAGGATTGGATACAGTTCAGATTCAAAAGGAAAAAGCAGAAAATTAGCCTACAATTTTCTAATGATATGAAACAATATCACAGAACCAAACCTGTCCTACCCCTGTCTGTAAACCATCCCCTACCATTCTCCATCCTAGCCTGTGTCCTGCAACCTGCTCCATATCTAATCTCACTATATTGCACAAGGTGTTTGCTAACATCCGAAATATCTTTCACTGTTCTGAATCATTGAATCTTAGCATCATACTTTTATCAAAATCTTGGGGGCAGCCTGGTGTAAGTCTTGTTAAACAAACACTTTTTCACGTTAAGTTGTGCTTAATATTTTACCAAAAATTCACCATCTCCTATTAATAAAATGCTGAGCTGGAACCATCTCAGGCTTTTTGAGCACACCTTCTGAATATTTACATCTGGAGGGTACACAGTGTTTACAAGAACTCATGTTTATTTATCCAAGAACACTTTCACAGAAAAGCTTCTTTATGACTAGCAGTTCATTTTCCTTTGCCAGTTTATTGACCTTTAGTAATGTATGGCTATTTGTTTGGTAAAAACGATAGTGTTAATCTTAACTTGCCATGTGTAATACATCTTGTAAATACCTTCCTTTTTCAAAAAAAGACTGGGTGGCAGGAAGCCCCCCTGGGCACTGGGAGGAGGGTTTGAATCCAGCCCAACTCATCAGTAAGCAAATAACATCGGTATCTGATGACACTTGCTAAGTGGCTGGAGGAAAACGAGTCCATGCTGGGAGCTTACTTGTTAGGACATCCTTGATGATCCTGCTGGCACTTTCAAACCTTCTTAATAGTTTTTATCCTTGGGCGATGAGGCTGTGCAGCTGGGTGCCCCTCTGCCCCGGTGGCTCTGCCAGGTGCTGCTGGTGCAGCCCAGGCTGGGAGGCAGGCATGAGTCTGCTGTCTTTCCTGGTTAATGGGATGACGTTCAATCCGCTCGCTGCCTACTCCGGCATTTCCTCAGAACTGGGTGTATTTATCCAAGAGCACTTCCGCAGAAAAGCTTCTTTATGCTTTGCACTGTGTTTTCCTTGCCAGCATCCTGACCTTTAGCACTCACCCACAGGTTCACCTCAAAAAAGTTCATTTCAGCAGTGTCCCTCCTGAGCTGTTCAGAGGCCAGCAGGCACTGGCCCAGGGATGGTGCCAGCTACTGAGGACCACCATGTGCAGAGCCAGGCTTCCACAAAGCATCTCTGGCTGTGCCAGGCACTGCCTGTCTTCCAGCTCTGTGAGTACTTGGTGAAGCAAAACTGAAATGCTCAGAAGGCAGGAATGAGGGAGGAAGGCACATTGGCAGATTCCGCTGATGCTGATCAACCGTCTCTCCTCACATTGCAAGGGCAAAGGGTCTTTAATTCAGTCCTTGGTATGAATTGAGATTACCTCTAAGCCTGTGTTAATTAAAGAAGATTTCATGCAGCTGATAAAATAATACTTTTATTTTCAAAAGCTGAGTTTTGTATCTGCAGTTCTTCCTTTAGGAGTCCTGGAGCAAAGCCAGTGAACCATCAGGTAAGAGTGGCTAACACTTGTGTACTCTATGCCTGCTCCTAGCTACTCAAGATTTAATTTTGGTGAGGTAACTTGAGGCATCTGGGCATATGCAGGGCTGGGGGGCAGGTGTTCATCCAGCTGGGACAAATGACAACCGTCCAGCCTGACTTTTAACCCACGGAAAACCTCCAAAGTGCAAAGCAACCTAGAAAGTTCACTGGGAGTTGATGGTATTCAGACCCTCCCAGGTCTGGGCTGTCAAAGGGTGATTTTAATAGCACATTAAGTATGAGATACTGGAATGTGATCAAGACCTAACGCAAGGAAGTAGCTTTTAATTAACAAGTTCCACATGCTATGTATGAAAAGTAACAGCCATTAAAATTTATTAGAATGAAATTACATATCAAAAAACCTCCAGTGTTGACTTTAGCTGCTTTAATTTAAAATAAACATTTCTACATCGAGGTGGCACAAAAGAAAATTTGCCTAAGTTTAATTTTTATGCTACTAAAAAGGATTTAACAGCTTAGAATACATGCTTTACTTCACACCATGCAGCTGCTTAAAATTGGATTAATTGTACTGCTCTTAACAAAGTATGGGTATAAACCATTAATAATTTAGACTCATGGGGTTTATTTTGTTTTATTTATTTCCTAAAAAATATTTTAACTGCAGAATTCTAAAATAACATGTAATCAAACATTTATATTTATATGTTGAGTTTTGGCTAGTAAAAGCCTTAGTTAGAATGGAATTGGCCAAGTTTGGACCTTGAAATTCTAGAGTTTTTTATAAAAAGCATTCATACGAAACCAGAAGCCCAAAGAGGTAGTTTGGTTTGGTTTTGCTGAAGTTTTTGAGCTAAAATGACTTGTAGAGTTGCTGTGATAAGTAATAGAGAGGTAAAGTCATGCTGCATCCTCACGTACTTTTGTCTCCCAATTCTCTCTAGCTTTGGCACATCATTTTATTAGGCAAGAAGATTCCTTTTCATGCTTTTACAGTGTCACAGTGGTGTGCTGCTACTGCTGAGGGACTGGCATTAGCTGAATTGGTTTAGCGGATCAGATGATGGGATGTATTTATTTTGAAGTCCACTTCATAAACTAGATCACAATCTATGGTTCCATAGATTTTTCAGAATCTTTTAAATGTTGCACAAAAACTCCTTCAGAATTTGCATTTAAAAGCAAAATACCCCAGAATGAACCCGTATGGAGTGAGGAAGGAATAGATAGGGTCAGAGGGGACCTCTAAGGTCACTGAATCCAGTTACCTCTAACACAGGCAACCACATCACAGGGTCCCCTTCAAAAGGGATTTATAAGTCTTCAGAAAGCATTCTTCACTCTGGAGGGCCTTTGATATCAAATACAGCCTAATTGTATAGCACAATTAGGCTCCTGATTAGAAAGAGGTATTAAAAAACCAAGAAAGAAATACAAGTGAGGTCCATGCTGTCCAAAGTTAATTTTTACCAAATAGAGGAAACCATCATTACACCAAAATGTGACTAATAAGGGCTTGCTCTATTACCTGGGACTGCCAAAGGCTGGAACTGCTTTGCAGACTTGTGTTGTGCACAGATGACCAGGCACCATTCCTGGAGTGCAGCCATGCTGCCCACATGCTTGAGGTAGGAGGCTGTGGCTCAGCCTCCTGCCTGCTGCTGTATTGCTGGTCCCCAGCACTCCCAAACTATCACAAGCCCCATAATGTCATCTAATACAAGTAAATATTGTAATGTTTTGACTGGGGTTCTGAAACTCTTGATTTACATTTTTTCAAGCCTTTTTCTATAACCAGCAGGGCCCCAGTCTTTAGGAAAGTGATGGCTGAAACACTAGTGTACAAACACTGCCCTGGGTGTCAGAAGATAAAGCTTATCCTAAGAAGCCTGGGAAAGCCCACAGGCTTCCTGGAGCACCAGGCAGCAACCTGTTGGCAGTAAAGGATTTTGCTCACTATATGTCTCGTAACCCCATGTCAGCACAGACTGAAGTTCCATGGTGCTTGCATGTCCCTGCTGTAGTGTTGGTGGCACCTGTGCAAGCCCCAGCACACAGGTAACAGGAGTATGCTTTGACTGACATCTTGTTTTCTGCGAGTCAAGCTGTCTTTCTGCAGCTCTCTGGCTTCGACATACGCTCTGCTGATAACTCATTTGAATGCTGGATGCTTCATGCTTTCATAACTCCTGCTCCTCCCTAGGCACTTTTCCAGAGCCCCACAGACTCCAGGCTGCTGCGGGTGCTGCTGGGTCTCTCCCCGCTCACCCAAGCAGATCCCCCACATTAGCTAGGGGGATTAGTGATACCTGAGGTTCCCACTACCAGCGTGACAAGGTGTTCAGAATTAACATGAGCTTTAGCAATTTCAGTTTTGACTCCAAGAATCGTGCTCTGAAGCCTTGGTACCCTGTGCAATTTTGCAAGCCCATCGTGCTGCCCAGTGCCTCCCATGCTGGCCATCCCTTGGCTCTCCCCTTGCTCCCTTCCACCACTGGTGGTCAGGCCTGCCTCGCTGCCGTGCCAGCTGTCTGGATTAGCTGCTCTCTCTCTCTTTCCACCTCACCAACTCCCCATCTGTTTTTCATCTATAGCTTAAATCCCTTTTGATCTGATCCTGAATCACTGACTTCCACAGGAGCCTGCGCACAGACTGTTTCTGGGAGCGGGTCCCTCCCTCCCTCACACTCCCTGGCTCCCTATGATGTTAGCCTGGAATGCTTACTGCTGCGTATTAAATTTCTCCTTGCTAAGGGCTGGATCCTGCAATGTTGTGGGAACCGCGGCCTTCATCCTGAAGAGAGCATATGTAGGTGTGATTTTGGGGGGTCCTGTTCGTTTGGTTGAAATCAAGACTGTGCTTAGGGCTTTTCTGGAGAGCGTCCAGGTCATTTAGCACATTGCAGGATTGAAACTTTCTATCTTAAACTTTTCTATAGGAGTTCTGCAATGCACAAAATTGCCAAGCACATAGGGAACATTGATCATCTCATTTAATTTAAAAGGCATTTTATTCACCTTAATTAAGCAGTTATTTAATGCCATTATCTATTTATCTAATTTAGTTATCTTAATGCACCACTATTTAGCCAATGTATTTGAATTGGAGACAATCATGCTAAATGAAACTGCAACATGGTTCAGTTACTGTGTAGTCATGAGAACTTAATTGTGTAATCAGAAATCATTACTGCTAGTGACTTTTTTGTATTCACTGGCATTGGACATAAACCAAAAAGCCAAAAATTATATGTAAGAACAATCTTCAAAGCTTAATCTGTCTTCTGGATTTTGAAAAGCAATAACACAGAATGCCCCGTACATGCAACATGTCTCAAGAACAAGGCAGCATTTTTCACCCATGGATGAAGTGATTAACCAGCATATTTATGAAGACTTTGACTTTCCAAATGTGTACTTCAAAACATCTCTGTTTTCTTAGTGATATGATAGATAAAACAGGTACATGAGATACATCTGCTTCCACAAACATGAATGCAAAGAGCCAGAGTACATACATTGCTATTACAGGATAAGCAGAGAGATGTTAATGTAAACTGTTACTGAGGAATTTGTGTTTGGGCAATTGAGTCCTCCTTTTTATGCGCCAGAGCCAAGCAGAGAAAAGGATCCAGGCAGAGCTTGCTGGTGAGCACAGAAATCTGAAAAACAGAAAATCAGTTCCTGGGAATTATCTGAAATACCTAATTGATACGAGAAATTACTGTACCCATCCTTTTTTTTAAAGTAGATTTTAAAATAGAATTTGGTAGATTACACCAAGAAAATCAGTACCCTTGGCAAAGAATTGCAAATTTACAGAAAAAGAGAACAAATGGTAGCCATGATTTGATGTAAACCAAAGGAGAAAGCAGCTTTAAGGGCTACCATTAAGCCTACTTTTAGGGTTTGATTTTGCAAAGCACTGAATAACCTCAGCTCCCACTGAAATCAATGGAAGCTGATTCAGGTTTCAGTGATTTACAGTACTCAAAATACTGGAGGTGTTTTTCTGACATCAGATGAGAGTTCTAGAAAGATCTGGAAGGAAGATCAAAATCCTCTGATAAAAAAACAAAAACCAAGCTGTAACATTTGAGCAATGAAAGACTTGAAGGGGCCAGAAGGGAGAGGGTGAGTTATCAGACACCCAGTGAAATGAGGACTTGCAGGAGCCACACTTTGAGGTCTCTGGGCTTCCTCCCCATCCTGATAAAGGGCAGAAAGGGACAGATTTGTGGTGATGATGTCACCAGCAGGTGGGCAGGTGCCTGTCCCTGCTCCCTAGAGCAAGCTCTGCTCCTCCCTCTGCCCAGGAACCTGTGCGGATGCCTTGTTCCTGCACCAAGTGCAGAACTTGCAGAAGGTCTCACCTAGTTAAAAAACAGATAAGTGAATTTTAGCAAAGGTGGAAGCAGCTCCCAATGCTTTGCATTATTCTCTGTGGTCCCTGATTGTATCTGTTTTCACACTTGACTATTCCACCTGGCATAAGATGGCATTGAGGGAAAGAAATCAGGAACTGGTGATGTGCTCCTGTAGGGAGCCAGAGGCAAATGGGTGCAAGGGCTTGCTGGGGTGCCTGAAAGCCTTTCAGACTTGGCCCTCCTCTGTGCCAGCTTCACCTGTCCTCTGCATTTCATCATTGCCATCAGATGACAACAGCTGTGCCTTGCTGAGACACATAATCCAGCTGTGTATGCTCTCTCCAGATTCCCACCCTACAGTCTTTACAGGACTGAGATCCCATCCCAGGCATAAAACCTCAGGCTTGTATACACTCAGATTCTTTTGCCAGCCCTGAGGGCCCAAACCCCTTTTGCCCTGCTCCTTGTGAAGGCTTTTCCATGGGTGAAAATTATCCATCCTCTACTTGCAGCTACCATGGTGTCTGGTGCAAGCCTGCTCTTAACTTTTAAGTAACTTCATTCCTCTTTGGCATCAGAAAGCTCCAGCCATTATAACGTTGTTTTTTTCCTGTAAGACACTGCTAGAAAGACAGAAGGGTGGAAAGAGACCTTTCCCATCACAGCTGCATGGGACTGGCTGGATTTGGCCTCAGCTGCCCCAGCTGCAGGTGCTTCCTTTCTGTGTCCCCCCTTTCTTCACGTACCTCTCAGCCCATCCAGCCTCCGCTCTCACAGCTTCTGTGAGGAAAGGACAGAGAAACTGAAGGTTTACGAAAGAAACACTGGTCTGACTAAAAAAGAAGAAGGATAAAAACAAGGCTAGAACTGCTGCTGCTGGTATTGGTTATTGAACAGTCATGCTGGGAGTTCTTGGAAGTTTTATGGCTGGGGGGCAAAACACACACACACTTCCACCCACTTGATGTGTCTCAAGTCTCCCAATAGTCAGCTAGAGTTGAGATGAATCCAAATAAGTTGGTAGGTACAAAAGTACTGAGTTTGGGATCTGGGAAGCAACGTAGCTTGGCTGCCACCACGTTAATGCTTGTTAATGAGTCCTGTCCCTCTGCAAGATTCATTAACTTGGCCAAAAGACTGGGCTGTCCAAATTTTCCTGCAGACGTCTGTACAGCTTGCTGACAGACCTTGTCTGTGCTGGTCTGCCTGTTCTACTTCCCAGCGAGCTCTGAGCTCAGGGGTTGAGGATACATTTAGGAAATAAGAAGCCTAGGACTGGCAAGCATTTCTGCACCTGATTTGTGGCTCTGAGTCCTTGTTTCAAGACCTATATACTGTATGATTTGAGATCTCTGCAAGAAGGTGTGTAGGTAACTGCAAGAAGGTGTGTAGGTAACTGCAAGAAGGTGTGTAGGTAACTGCCCCTCCTGCCCCTTCTGTTACCCTTGCCGCATCATGAAAAGAATTACACTATTTAGTAGGAGCCACAGCATGAAATGCCTTGGAGAAACTATCCACAGAGGAACAGGCCAAGGATATGCGTATGCTTGCATTTAAAATAGGTAGATATATTTTGGAAGAACAAGGAAAATAAAGAATGCAAAGTGAAGCCATAAATAGTCTATCTGCAAAAGTACTTAAGGGGGCCTCCTTGGGGTTCTTTCATGGGTCACCAGAGAAAATTATAGTCTGCTTGAGTTATTTCATTCACATTAATCTTTCTGCAGCAATCACCACCTTCTTATTCATAATCTTTAGATTAAGGCATGGATTAATTATTTATACAGCTCCATCCATGTATGTGGAAGTTTTACAAAGCAAATAAAACCAGTCCTTGTTCGCAGTAGAGTGTATAATTTAGCACAGGCAGGCAAAATGGGTGAAAAATTCAGGTGTGGAAGCAGCAATGGAGAAGAAACTAAGATGGGAAGGAATTGCAGAGGAGGGTGTTTTTCTAGAAGAAAAGCAATGGTATTCGGTAACTGAGAGGGACTGGTATACTGGGAAGTAGAGCTTGGAAAGGATGACCTAGACTGGGGTGTTTGCATGTGGCTGGGGCTGGCAGAGTGTGACACAGAAGGAACAAAGTCCTGAGTAAAGGCAGCAAAGGTGGTAGGAGAACATGGTTGGATTGTCCAGGATCTCTGGGGTGGTAGAGACAAGAAACATGATGAAAAGCAAACTGCCTTGGGGGGTGGGGGTAGCAGATGAAGAGCTTAAGTCCATTTGTTTTTCAGTGTTTTAAATTTCTAGCTGTTTTGCAGAACCTCTACCTTTTATGAACAAAAGACCATGATGGTCTGACCATGGGTTTGCTTAAAACTCATTTCAGGTAAGTGAAGGAATAGCAGCCACACAGACACAGCAGATGGGCCGTTGTCCTTGTGTCATTGTTCACAACTCGTGCTGTTGAAGGAGTCCAAGGTTCAACTATTACTCCTGGATTGTTGCTGGATTTCCCATGAGCTGTGCATTGGAAGATATAGCCTTTGCTCGTGGACTTTGCTTCTGCCTCTCTGCCCCTTCCTGAGCTGATGCTTCCCACTCAATCAGCCATTTGGCAGGAGGAGAGAGACATAGCACATGCCAGTGGCTCATTTCTGCTCATCTCATCCACATCTGAATGCAGACCAAGAGAGCTTAAAATCAGATTGGCAGATCATTTGTGGAACCAAGAAACCACCTCTTCAAACACCTTTCTTTGTGAAAGTTGGAGCAATTTTGCATTGTCTCAGGGTTAGTACAAGTAGCTCCCCTGTCTTCTGTGCTGAGATGCAGTCTACAGCTTAAAACTCATCCTCCTTGGCCCCTTGTAACCTGTAGCTATTCAAAATTGCTCGAGTAGAGCCATCAGAAAATTTACTGTCACTGTGTGCATCTGGAGGGTAGTGGGGACCTGGCGACAGCCATCTCAGGAGGGCCTGCATGTCGTCTCCCAGAGTAGCATGTTCTTGCATGGGAACAGGCTGTTTGTGGCTTTCGGGTGCCTGCTCAGAGACACACTACAGTGTGAAAAGAAAACTACTAGAGATCAGATATCTTTGCTGGGAAATGATCTTCTTATCCTGTGAAGCTCCGAGATTTAAAAGAAGTTCCAGTTTGACATATCTTCAAGATATATTGCTACTTTCCTTGGGAAAAGCACAGAAAAAGAGCTCTCCTGGATCTCATGGCTGTCACTGGACTCACTCATGGGGAGGAAAACTCATGCTCAGACTTCTGCTCTAGACTGAGCCAAACCTTTTTTCCCTGTTAGCTGGGTGCTTTGAATACCAACACACTGCAAGGGCTCTTTCCCTTTCTTTGTCCCCATATTTCAGAATAGATAAGTTTCATGAAATCTGGTGATTTTGCTGAATCACTATTCTTCAGTAAAGTATTGCTCAGTTGAAAAATTCTCCACCAAACCTTTGGGTAAGTACATGGCAGAGGCTGCTTCTACATACCTGCACTGCCCTCTGATCTAACCCTCTTGAGGGAGTCCTGCTACCCCTCTCTCCACAGACCTATCACATTTACAGAAGAACAGTTATTTATTTATATCTCGCTACCTCTCTATCAACCCTTGCCCTCCATGTGCAATTCCCATGGTACAAGTATCCTGTAAAACTTTCAATGGCTGCATCAGGGTTGCGCTGAGATTGTCTGCAAGGACTTGCGCACCCTGGCACTCCCTGCCTTACACTAGGGTCTGGTTAGATCCCAGCTGTGCTGGAGATCAGTTTGAGCTGTTCTCCCTTGGCTTTATCCCTATGGTGCTTTCTAAGCAGTGCAGAGCGTGGGCTCCCTGTCCAGCCGAAGGGTCTACAATGGAGAGGGAAGGTGGTGAGACTTAGGCAGAGCTTTTAGGTCAGGGTTTTTGGCAACCTTCACCAAGACAGAGCACACCAGAATGATGGAAAGGGCTTTTAATCTCAAAATCCGTAGTGGTTTGAACACAAACAGTAACAGGTGATACTTAAAAATAAAGCTTAAAATCTGTTCAGTGAGATACAGTAAAAATAAGAAGAATTGGTTTTCCTCTGTGTGCTGAGTTTCTGCAGATGGGTTTCTCCTCCAGTCTGGTGACTTTTGGAGGTGCTGTGACATCACACAGCCTGCTGTGTCATGACAGTGAGCCCGCCCATCCATCCATCCATCCATCCATCCATCCATCCATCCATCCATCTCTGGTGGATGCCTGCTCCATGCTGCTCACAGCACTCTCCCAAGCATGGCTTTGCAAAGTTTCAGCACCTGGGAATAACAATCCATGGTTCTCCTGGTCTCCTGGCTGCCTCACCCTGTTCTTTCATCTGCTTTCCCCACATGCTTGTGCTGCCCCCCTCACGTGAGCTCCACACAATGTCCAAGGCAACGAGCCATGTTGCTTCTCCTGTCCAGCTACTGCTTTTTAAAAGAAGTAAAACAAATACAATAGTTGCCATCTATTACAGATAACAAAATAAAATGCCTATAGAGTTACATGACTGTCTTCTTGATAATGATAGAAATACATGCTGGCAGAAATGCCTAGCAATACAGACTTTGTGGTTGGA